ATGGAATATGAGCACGTAAGTTCTTCATTCTCTCAGCAATTTCAGCAATCTCTGTTGCTGTGAGGCGCATTCCTGATTTTGTTCCTTTTAAAATAAATGTCATAAATCTTTTCGTGACGCCTTCTAACACCAAATGAAAAGGATCCAGAACAAATTCTGTTACCATTCTTACAGGTATAATTAAAAGAGGGGATATTCCAGTGTGATGCTCAGGATCCGACTGATTCACAAAGTCTTCATCACTACGTGGTGTGTGCGTCTCAGTGGAATAACACATTCTATGAAATTCATATTCTCCAGATTGAGTACATCTCTCACATGCATGATATGCTCCATGACCCACAATACATTTTAGATACTGTCTTGCAGGAGCATCGCAAATAAAACATCTGATATAAACTTCATGCATCACACCATTTAAAACCAGACCATCACTTTTTAATTTTAATACCTCTAAAATAAAGTCTTGCAAATACTTATTTACATTGTCTGGTTTACCTGATCCCACAAAAATTCCGACAACAAACGGTCTGTCATCAATTAAATCCAAGGACCTACATAAAATAGGCCACACATCAGTGACACAGCTTTTGGTCATATTTATTCCATCAACATTAACATCTAATCCTATTTTGTTTGTGCCAAAATTTTTCAGTCCACAATTTTGTAGGCGTCTTTCAAGTCCTGGTATTAATCCAACATGGACATAGGAACCGTTGCCGAATTCTACAATTGATGTTGCTCTAGGCGTCTTATTGAGAGTCCGCGGATCTAAGGGCAATTCTGGATGATATAGTTTTAGTTTTGCAAGAAGTTCTCTGCACGCTTCTACTGTAATATTGTGTTTTAAGTTCCATTCTCTTAGCCATTGCCTGAAATTCACCTGTTCATCCTCATCATTGTCTTCTTCATCTTCATCACTTGAGTTACTATCTGATTCAATATTTGCTAACAGATCATGTCTCATATAAACGTATTCACTATTATTACCATCATTTATTTGCCTTGAAAGCTGTAAATTTTCATTGCTATGTGCAGATTCACTAATATTATTAATAGAATCTTGAGAGATATCTTGAGTCTCATGTGAATTTATAATACTATTTGCTGTAATCGCGTTTAAAATGTCCTCATCATCTTCTAATATATTAGCGAATACCTTCTCAGCTTCAGCTTTGGCGTATCTCCTTAGCCTTCGCTCCCCGATAGATCGTTTGTGTAACTCTGTCATTTCGTAAAATACAATACTGTTAAAAGAAATTTGATTTAGCTCTCGGCCAAAAAGTACAGAAAACGATATGTCATAATAAAAATAACCGGGGTACAGAGTGAAAAAATAAAACTGAAATAACATTATAGTCTTTATTTAATTAAAAATACTTTATCAAAATACTGAATAAAAAAAGATCATATAAAGATGTGTAAAAAATTTATAAATCAAAACTTTGATTTTTATAGGCCGATATTATATTTGTCGTACAACAACTGTAATATATATAGCCTTTAGAGATATATAATATAATAAAAATAATAGAATTAAACCATCATAACCTTTTTAATGCATGTAAGATATTAATTATCTTAAGGATTAGCCTCAGAAAAATAATATAAAATTGTAACACAAACGATATATCATAGTAAAAATAACCGGAGTACAGAGTAGAAAAATAAAACTGAAATAACATTATAGTCTTTATTTAATTAAAAATACTTCAAATATCAAAATACTGAATAAAAAAAGATCATATAAAAATGCCTAAAAAATTTATAAAACAAAACTTTGATTTTTATAGGCCGATATTACATTTGTCGTACGACAAATGTAATATATATAGCCTTTAGAGTTTATAATATAATAAAAATAATAGAATCAAACCATTATAACTTTTTTAATGCATGTAAGATATTAATTATCCTAAGGATTAGCCTTAGAAAAATAATATAAAATTGTAACACAAATTATCATGTTACATTAAATATCATGTTATTTAAATTATTATCAAATACGTTACATCAAATACGTAGGCACATACACAGTTTACCACTAAAAAAGACAAAATAATACAAAAGATATAACACTTACCATTCATTTT